TTTTGTTTTTTGTCAGTTTATTGCCAGAACTTCGCAACCAGCTTCAAGGAGAGCGAGATGAACGCCATTGCAGCCGACATGTGCACCAATGCCCGACGTGTGGTCCGTAAGAGCTGGATACCCAAGCTAAAGCTACTGATGGCGGAAAGTGACGCTTACTCTGCGTTCCTTCCTGATGGTGTCAAGACAGAGGAAGACGCCCTGGGGGCGGATCCAACCTTCGACCCTGCCTCATTGGAGTCCGCCAGTGGTGCTGGTATGGAGTCGGGCGGCTCTTCAGGTGAATCGCTACCAGGTGTGGGTGGGGACGGAGGACCGTTATTTTGAATGTTTGGTGACGCACATACCAGTATTCCCCAGTTGCGCTTGCCTTCTCACTCTTTGGCCCACGCTGATCTCTCACATCTTGACTGTCTATACTACACTGTTAGGGTCAACAGTTGTTGCCCTGATGTAACCAGGACTTGAAAACTTAAGGTTTTTTTGCTTTGACTGTATAATGGAGGTAATCAAGGAAAGGAAGGGCGTAAGAGGGTCTTTAGTTGTGTCCTAACTGCCCTCTGCCTCCCCTTGTCTTTTTAAGGTGTGTAAACGCATCCACTGTTGCATATTAAATACATTCCCTGAGGTGCTGGTGGTTTGGGGGGAGGGCAGGGAGTTACTGGTGCAGCCTGAGGAGGAAGAGATGGCTGGATGGACAGATTTCCAGGAGCAGAAGTGACGGGTATATTGAATGTAAGTGTCGGTGGCATTTTTCTCTATGCAACCCTGACAACTTGTATTCCAGCCTCGGGAAAGAAACTAAATTTCAAAATAGATACATTATTAAAACAAAGTAACACTACCTGTTCTTCCTCCTCTTGCATCTTCCACTGATCACCCTGCAAGTATTCTTCAGCCTCACCTCACCTTTCTTGAGACCAGAGAATCTCACTCGAGTGTTTCACTGTGTGCTGTCTTATAGAAATATATCTCATCTGCCTATTTTTATTTTCTTTGCATGTTTCTCTGTCTGTAAACTGAAAAGTGATCCAGTAAGAAGGGTGAAAGCTTTTTACTCAGATTGTAATGGGGAAAAAAATGAAATTTGAAGGGCAACAGGTAATCAAAGACGGTCATATTTTTAGAAGACAAAAACTATATTTATACAAGTGCCCATGCCTAGAATGGTGTGAGCAAAGAGAGCAAGAGGGATTGTTTTAAAATCTCAGTATTCAGCTTTTATTGAAAGAGGGCTTGTCAAGTAAGGAAAAGTGCTATTTTTGCAGGAGTACAATAATAATAATGAAAGGAGTCTTATCATAAGAACCTCAGTCATTTATTTTTATCCTTATTTTACAGTGAAAGTGATGGAATGAGCAGTTGAACTGCTAAATTTGACACATTTCATCTTTTGTCCACTATCTTTAAAGGAATAATAAGACTGCTTCCGCTGGCACGACTGTGACTATGATTAGCATTTCTTGTTAGGTTGTGAACCTGCAACATTCGCCTCCTTTGATACAGCATTGGCCCACAGTTTTGAAGATTACTTTTGGACATTTATAGGTTACATTTATCTGACAGCTCTGCTAGTTTAGCCTTCGAAGAAAAATTCCTAAAAGGAGGGAGGAACAAAGTGACGTTCACAAGAAATAATTGTGAAATGAACAAGTGCATCTTTCAAATCTTGACGTCAATAAGCTGGTGGGCACAGTGATGTCGCAGGGAGGCAATGCTGCTTGAAGCAAAAAGGTTTTAATGGTACTGTGTGTATGTGTGTGTTCGACATAGTTCTCTGGTAAGAAAGCCAAGTTTGTATTGTGAAGATGTGTCTTTGGTGTGTGGCTTATTCATGTATGCAATGCACCACCTCTTTCATCTGGAAATTCAAAATGAGTTTTATTTTGAAGTTTGAAATGATTTTGCACCTTCCATGAGCGATAAGAGTGGTGGTTTCTGCACCTTATTGAGAAGAACTAGTAGTTCATGCACCTTTTGAGAAGTGTTGTGTAGCAATCAAACCCCTTTAGGTGGAATTTGCTTTGTTTTTTTTTGTTTTTGTTTTTTTTTTTCTTTCTCCCATGCCTGCCTGTATTTGTTGTTTAGTAGTGGCACGAACGCCTACTGTAAATAATCAAGAAGACTGTTGAGTTGAATCCCAAGTGTTCTTCTTTTTTTCTGTTGCTGAATGTGTCTGATTTAAGAAATGTCAACAACTGACCTTTTGTATGTGGAAGTTGGTGTTTGCTAGAAACCTTCTGAATGCATGTTAATCTGTTAAGGACGGAGGTCAGTACAGGGGATTCATTCTTACATTTGCAGGTGGAAAAACCTGAAAGTAGTCCGGGTCTGACTCGGAATGTGTTCTTAACCTGATACGTTCGCACGGACTGATTACTTTCTCTTTCAGGAAATTTTTTTTTTTCCATAGAGGTTCTATTTTTGTGTAGAGAGGTAGAGTTTGAAAGCCAGGAAGATGCTGATGCTTCCTATCAAAGGCAGTTAAGTCTTACTGAAAAGAAATAAAATGACTAGTGGCATGATAAAGATTCTAGCTCAGCATATTTTCATTATTGTTTCAAATTCTAGGTTGGTTTAGGTGGGTGATACAGTATATGGATGAAACATAAATGCAGTACCTTGTGAGCATTCATTAAGGGTAATAACAAAGAAACCTCAGTTTTGCATTTGACTGTAGATGCCACATGAGCACCCCTCCCCCACATACCTCAAGTATCTTTGAAGACTGTTGTGCTTCCTGTCCCTTATGCAGCTGGTGTCATGTTTCACTCCTCCAAGTTTATTCATGCGCTTCATAAAGGCAAAGCAGTGGTTTATGTTTGAGCTGAATTATAATGTCTAGCTTTAATTTGTGTAGAGGTTTTCACAAGATGTTGCTTCACATTGTTTTAAGTATGACTATAATTTTTTTTCAAATCACCAGACTTGCCAGGCATGTTAAAGTTGCCATAATCAGCTGAAAAGTTTGCTTTGTTACATACTATTACTCAGAAGAACTGTCATTGAGTCTCCAAATAAGATAAAATATGACCAATTAAGATTTCAACGTGAGAAACACATTTCTGTTTGTCTCCCACAGTAATCATATTACTCAGTGACCCACTGAATGACTTGTACTGTATTGTGAGTCATTAACGAGAGCTCGGCTACGCCAGTGAATTGGTGTCGACTCTAATGAAGCAGCTGCCCAACCCGTATACGGAAATGTCCCCACTGCACCATTGACCTAGTAAGATTATGCTGCTGTTGTAGCTTCAAAGCTTTTACTACATATAAACAGTGATTAGGGCCCATGTTGCCATCAGTTCAACAAGTTCAGTTGAAATAAAATGTGGTTCCGGGACATTTCGGGGGTTTCACCCTGAAGTAAAAGTTCACTGACAGCTAAAAACTCCCTTATTCATAACTTGATTGCTCAGTCGCTCAGTCCTCCATCATCACTAGGTATGTGGGTGTTACTCGTTTTTAATTTGTGTTCTTTTGAGAGCTCTCTTGCTTTTTTTTTTTTATTGCACATTCTAAGCAATTTCTCTACCTTTCAGCGTACGTGTTTACACTTACAAAATGTAGACCTACACACTTGAATGGATAAGGTGTGGCACGGCATTGGGAACCTTTTGTCACTAAACAGTACATAGATAAATATGATTATATACATGTATAGATAAATACTGTATATTATATATAGACGCACACATAGTTTGTTTGTTGTGCACTCGCAGCATGAGGTATATATTTACCCAGATACAATGCTTCTCTTCACAACCTGTGCAGTTATTGGTCTGCCCATGTCTTTGCCCCTGCTCTTTGCCCTCTGTAACCCTGTAGCACCAGTGGACCTCCTGTACTGCTCATCCTCTTTCTGTGTTCCAAGTGCCAATAACTTTGTGAAAGCCCTGTAACTGTGACCCAACATTATCAAAGGTAATTGCACATTAACAACTTTAAGATAAATGAATACAAATCATAGAGAAAATGTCAAAAATGGAACAAATAATGAGTATCTTAATAAAAGATTTGTAACAATTTCTCCAAGACTCCTGGTTTTTGTGTTTCCTTAATCGCTTTAATGGTGTTGCCTGTCATTTGCTCTCATGGCGTTTGCTCACTGGTGAACTTAATTGAATCTTACTTTATTGCAAATGATTTAATGACACAGCTCTGCAATGGTTAGCACTACTGTGGTTAGCACAGCAAGAAGAAGTGTACTTTAATGTAATTTATTTAAGCACCGTTCATAAACCTAATTTAAACTCAACGCTTCAGTGTTCACACCTGGAAGCTGTCATGTATGACCTGTCGCTTTCATACTGTATGAACGTGTCACACACAGTTGTTTTTGCCATCATTTGTTTACAGTTTTGCTTTGACATGCTTGAAAAGAGCTTCCTGATGAGGTGTTAAATAATGGGTTATATTTCATATTTGGATAAAAGGATCTGAAGCACCGTCACTGTCTCCATTTTCATTGCATGCATGACCTTTTTTTAAATCTTTGTTTTAAAAACAGATGTCAAACATGCAGGACAGAAAAGTGTCATGTAGGCTTTTAAATTTCTATTGTTAAGTGCACCACCCAGTGTTACAACAAATACAGGAAATTAAATCACTGAAACTGTTCAAACATTGTATGATCTTGTAGCTCAACAGCTCAAATCTAAGCTTATGGTGATATTTACAGTAATCTTATACTGATGAAGAGCAAACATTAAAACTGGAGTATTGGGAAATACAGCTATAAATTGGTTTCTAGATGAAGAACTGATCTATATACAATAACCCACATCTGATATCAAAGATTTGGCTCCTTGTTAAATTGCTGTTTAGTTGGCTGCCATTGTAATGGAGTGTGTGGTAAAGAGGATTTTAAATAGGATTTAAACCTCTGAATCTCTTGTTTGAAATACCTTTTTAAAAAAGTTGTGATGCTGTATAAAATGTAAAAGGAAAAACAGAATGCAGTTGTTTGCGTGTTAAATAAAATGATATTTTGTTCACAGTAGAACACAGAAAATATATCAGATGTTTAAACTGAGACATTTTAGTTTTTAAACCAAAGCAAATGTTCATGAGCTCAGAACCCCAGGCCTAAATCTTGATTAAACTATATTAATGGTGGGTGGGGTTTTTTGGGGTTTTTTTTTTTTTAAACCGCTAAAAGGCTTGAGCACTGAGGGACATGGTTAAGTGTATTACATTCATAGATTCTCAAAGATGCTAATCTGAAATTGAATCGAATCTAAGGCTAATCTGATTTATTAGAACAGACATGGTAAGAGCTGCCATCCCATCTCCATCATGGATACAGTGTTTTATATGAATGTACTAAGGAAGCTATTAACAACTTTTTCCAACTCTATCTTCTCTGCATCACATGTTAGCCAAGGTTAGCAAGACAAAGCTCATCTCTTACAATGCTAAAGCACTGAAGCTCATTTACTTGCAAATGCTAGCCATGTTTGCATAAGAAGCGCAGGTCGTAACTGATTTCAGAACAGTAAAGCTGAGCCAGTGCCAACTTTCCTTGCACTCTGGTCTGCCCTCAATTTGATCTATAATGCTCATGCGCAAACCACCAGAAAAAATCCGCTGGTCTCTCAGCTTGCCCAGCTCCGGTCAATATTCAACAGGAGATGGACACACCTGTATTACAGAGAGAGCTATTAGACTGAAATAATCACAGCTTTCAGCAACAAAGCTGGCTAGGGGCCACAACATGGCAGAAATGTAAAGGCTGAATGCACATATTAATTGAAAGGCCAGGAGCTTTATGACTGTGCTGTCTGAGATGAAAGAGATGTTATTTTGGTGTATATATATATATATGTCTATTTTTAGATTTGACAAAGCAAGCATTACTTTCCTTGTAATGTGACCAAAAGATTCTGAGAAGCTAGGGAGCTCTCTGTGCACATGTGACAAGGATGAACATTAATACTGGATGATGATTGCTGGGCCCTCAGATGGCGCTACCCAGTGGCTGATTTAGAAAATTGTACATGGGTGGACAAAGGAGGAGCAACAGGTCTAGGCAGGGTGGCAGATACCTCTTCAGTGAAGTATGTGAAAATCCCCAGTATGTAAATGGAGTCAACAAAATATCCACAAACACACTTTAAAACTATTTATTGTATCATTATCTCTTCTAAGAAAACAAAGGTTTTGGACAAACAATTAGTTTATACAATGGCTCTACAGCTGGGGGCAGTTGCCCCTCTTTAGAGGGGAACTGGACTGAGGCTAAGTCAAAAATCTGATTTTTATTTATTTATTTATTTATTTCATTTCTTTGAAAAACATGATGTTGCATTCTCTGGACTAAAGAGTCCACCCAGCTTGTTATCAGCGCTCACTGGACTGGACTTGTTGCACAGGTGGCATCTATCACTATCAATTTGCTGAGCTGCTGAGAGCGACCCAGTCTTTCACCATTGTTTGTAGGAGCATTCTACATGCCTAAGCGCTTGATTTTATACCTGATTTAAATTATTTAGATGGGTGAGTGAATAATTTTGGCAATATAATGTATTTCTGCAAAACAAATCACAAGTGCTAAAACACAGATATGTTTGGGAAAGGTCAGTGTTATGAACAAAGGATTTAAGAGGCAGACTTTTGAAATAAGGAAAGAACGTTTTCACAATATTCAAATTTTGGAGCTCCACTAGTAGACTATATGCCACCTTTCGGTTGTCCCTAGATTCTAAGAAAGACAAGCAGGGATAATAGCTTGTTCAATTTTTCACAAACTTGAGAAGTTAGCAAATACTGAGATATCAGATTGTGACAGTTTATTGATTAGGATATCTATCACATAGCCTAAATTTTTCTCAGCTGTCCCTAGCTTGATTCCTGGCTGGTTTTACTTTAAAAGCATGTTATTTATCCCTCTTCACTCTCTCAATATTCCCTGTCTTCTCCCTCTATGATGAGAAAAACAAAAATCTCCAGTAAAGTTTAAGCTTTTAAGTGGAATGATTAAAGTGGAATTTTTGACTAAACATTTTATTTAAAATTTGAAACTAATGTGTAATAAAATGATTACATGAAAGTAAATATGTTGCAAAAAAATATTATGTTTATAGTATTAGACTTGCTCTCAGACCTTTTGACCCAATATATATTTTACACTATTCTACTGTTACATTCCCATGTAGATGGCAAGCTATTCTTCAGATGTGGAGTACAAGCATTGCTTGCGCAAAACAAATCGTCTTCCAACATGATGGCTGCTGCCCCCTTGTGGACCACGAAGGTATTGCTTTAGGCCAATCCTATAATGAATACATAGAAGAAAGAAAGAAAGACCTTTAACAAGCGCATTTATTCATATCACAATTCAATAATACAAACAAACGCTCACAAAATCAAAGGAAACATCACAATAAACCACCCAAACCCACACACACTTAGGTCCACGTGTAGTTAGCAAAACAAATACACTAAATAATAATAGTACTCTAAAAACGCAAAACAAGTGCACCATCCTCCCTCAATGAACATAAAACATTTTGAATACACCACAAATCTGTAAACATCTGTAGATTACAAGTTACACTATAAAAAGCATGCTCCACTTTCAATCTTGATGCAACTAACCCCTTAAAACTAAGTGCTGCATCAGTCCAACCCTGTCCAAGCATTTTATTCTTCCTTGTTTTCCAAATTGCTAACTTAGCCATACCAAGAAGGAAACTGATTAAGACATGAGCCTTCTTTTTAGAAGCTCTGTACTTAAGACTAAAAACAAAAAAACAGCAATAGAAAAACGCTCACCCAGGGCTTCCACCCATTCCTGCAATAAACTAAACAGGCTTTTTAACCTTACACAGGACAAAAACAAGTGTTCCAGTGACTCCTGTTGTTCACAAAACAGACATCCACCCCTAGTCGGGTCAAAGCTCTGTGTCTGTTCGTAGCTATCAATCCATGTATAATCCTCCACTGGAGGTCACCCACCCGTTTCTCAGCGGGTGGCTTATACAGGACCCTCCATCTGCCCTTCGGGGCAAGGTCTGAACCAAAAACCTGAGTCCACCTCGACTCCCTGACCCCTGCTAGAGAGCACAAGTTCAGCAGCTTGACACAACTTTGATACAGGTGCTTCTTCCCACATGAACTGAGAACACCCAACACCGGTGTTCTCAAAGAGAGAAGCAGTCCATCCTCCTCATGCCAGCCATCAAAAGCTGGCACAGTTGAAAGTACTGGAAATACGTACTCATATCCATTATGCCACTGGTCAGCCAGATTGCAGCGTCCAGCAAATACTTTCAGTGACACGGGTAAGGACTCCCAGACCTCTTCAAGGATCCTCTTTAAGATCCTGGTGGACTTGATGTTAGTAAGGTCGCACATCCTTTCTATCGATAGTCTTGTGAGGTGACCCAGTTTCACAATCCCAGCTTGAATGAACTTGGTCCTTATTGCAGGTAATGACAGCAAACAATCCCGTACAAAAAAGTCATTGTGAAACAATGGTTCCTCAAAAAGCCACAGGCCAGGTCTAGGATCAGGGTCACGGAAAGTCTTCAGCGTTTTCCAAGCATCCAACACTGAACGATAAAAAGGTGTTAAACCCGTCATCTCAAGCTCT